AAAATGAAACATAGGCAGGCTCAGTGGTTTGTAGCTCAGTGGTAGAGAGAGCACTTGTAGAGCACTTTTCCTAGCATACACAGGCCCTGGGTTCAATTCCTAGGAAAGAAGGAGACAGAAAAAGAGAGAGAAATAGGGGGGAGAGGAAGGGAAGAAGGAAGGAAGGAAGGAAAATCATGTTTCAACTGGCCTCCCAGTCTCCAAGAATAATTAAGGAATTACATTAGAATTTTAGAATTTTTAAAGGTAATAAAATTGTGGTCATGTATTTAGGGTGTGTGTGTGTGTGTGTGTGTGTGTGTGTGTGTGTGTGTGCGCACGCTATAGTACTGGGGATTAAACCCAGGGCTTCACACATCCTAGGCAAGCATTCTATCACTGAGGTATAACTTCAGCGTTTCGTTTTAAGACAGGGTCTTACTAAGTTGCCTAGGCTGGTCTCAAATTTTTAATCCTCCTCTTCAGCCTCAGAAGCAGCTGGAATTGGGCCGGGGATTTAGCTCAGTGGTTCCACCGCCTCCCTTGCAAGTGCAAGGTCCCGAGTTCGATCCCTGGTACCAAAAAAAAAAAGTAGCTGGAATTACATGTGTGTACCTGGCAAGTTTGAATCAGAGAGATAGAGAAGGGTTGGGGGTGTAGCTCAGTGATAAAGTATTTGTATGCATGTTGCCCTAGGTTCAATTCCCAGCACCCCAAGAAAAGGGGAGAGAGAGATTATGTGGCATGATATCTAGAACACATGAGCAGAAAGAAAATGTTGGATGAGGAAATGAACAGGGTAGGACTGGCCATCAGTGGATGGCTGTGGGATGATGATGCAGACAGGGAAGGGAGTACATTATACTGTCCTATCAACTGTTGTGCATATCCAAAATCTCCATTATACAAAGACTTTTTCAAAGAGAAAGAAAAGAGAGAAAGCAAAGGAAGAGAAGAAGTTGAATGAATCCGTTTTTGTTGAAGGGTTCAGGCAGCTGATGGTGCCATTTTCTGAGATAATGAAAAGGATGGGCTGAGAGGGAGACAAGAGCTTTAGAGAGTATCTTAAGTCTCTTTGGGGTGTTCTAGGTTTAATACAACCAGTAAACATGCTGAAGAAGATGTCAAGTAGTAAGCTAGATGAAAATTTGAAACTCAGAAGATAGATCTATACTTAAGAGATAAATGCATGGCTAATTAGCAGATGCATGATACTTTAGACCATGAACATGGAAGGGGATTAGGTGGTGATGATTGTTCACGTAAGTTTATCATTTGTTATAAGGCACACTCTCCTGAGGGACATTGATATGGGGGAGGCTATGCATGTGTGGTACAGGGGAAAATTAGAAATGTCTATACCTTGCTCTTAATTTTGCTATAAAGGGCCAGGGATTTAGCTCAGTGGTGCCGCTGCCTGCCTCGAAAGCACAAGGTCCTGAGTTTGATCCCCGGTACCAAAAAAAAAAAAAGAATTAATTTTGCTATAAACCTAAAACTGCTCAAAACATAAAGGTTTTTTTTAATGATGAGATTACTCTTTTTTTTTTTTTGCTTTTGGAGACAGGGTCTCCCTTTGTAGTTCAGGCTGGCCTTGAACTCACTTTGTAGCCCCGGCTGGCCTCAAACTCACAGCAATCCCCCTGCCTCTGGGATTATAGGTGTGAACCACCACACTCGGCAATGACAAGATTACTTAATGAGAGAGAAGGTAGAGGAAGATCCAAAATTAGCACCCTCCAAAAAAATTTAGAATTTAAGTAGATGAGAAAGATTAAAAAAAAAACTACAAGGACCCAAGTTCGATCCCTGGTACCAAAAAATTAAAATTAAAATTAAAAAATAAACTAAGAAAGATCTAAAACAAATAAATAAGTCTAAGAAGGATTAGGCAGGAGAACAGGATAAACAAGACTATGACATTGGGATAGCCCAAATGAGAGAGTATTTCAAGAAAGAAATAGATGCCAACTGTTTCCAACGCTGTGAAGAGGTCAAATAAGATGATACAGGACTGTTCTCTCTCCCTGTAGCTGGCAGTGTGGACACCACTGTGATAAGAACAGCTTAGGTGGGCTGGGGATGTAGCTCAGTGGTGCCGCACCTGCCTGGCAAGCACAAGGTCCTGAGTTCAATCCCCGGTATCACAAAAAAAAAAAAAAAGAAAGAAAGAAAGAAAAGAAGAATAGCTTATAGAAGAGCAATGGGTTGTGGGGGCGGTGGTGAATGGAAGGTGAGGAAATCAAGATAACGTGAGCAGATGATGCAAGAATGCATGAAGAAAATCCATAAAATGGGTGGTTGGTAAAGTGAGGTGTGGACTCAAGACAGCGTTGGGGTTTGGGGGGGTGGTTTGTTTTTTTGGTTTTCTTTTTTGGTACTGGGGATCAAACTCGGGTCCTTGGTTTGCAAGGCAGGTGGCAGAGCCACTGAGCTAAATCCCCGATCCTGGGTTGGGTTTTTTATTAACCTGAAATATATTACAGCATGTTAATATGGTGAAAGATCCTGAAAGAGCCAGAGATTAATGATTTGTGAAAAAACAAAGATAAAACTAAAACAAGGATTCCAAACAGCATTATTCAGTAATACCCAAAAAGTAGAAACAGCTCAATTGTCCATCTACTGATGAATGGGTAAATAAAATATGGCATAATGTAATGTTACTCAAAAAAGATGAAGTACAGATACATGATACAACATTGATGAACCTTAGAAGCATTGTGCTGAGTAGTAACAGAAACAGTCAGAAAGGCCACATTTTTATCTCAACTCCAAAGTTCACATCATTACTAACTGATATGCTAGTAAAGGTCTACTCAGGCAAAGAAAAATCATTCTAATGGTTTCAGACAGAAGAAATGTGATGAGAACTGGTCAGAAATGTGTTAAAAACATGGAACAACTGTCATGGCTTGTGTCTAGATGTCCCCCCAAAGCCTCATGCAGTCATAGGTGGGACTTTTTTGGAAGTAGCTGGATCTAGAGCATGTGAAACTGGAATTGATTCATGGTGCAGTGCTAGGCTCCAGAGCACTAGGATTAAGGGTATGAGTGCTACCTGCCCTAAGTAGTCTGGATAAAATAAAAGGGGCAGAAAGACGCTGTTAAACTCTCTTGTTGCTTAGCTACCTTCTGTCTGCCGTGAACTGTTGCCCCTCTCCCATGTGCCACTCTGCCTTGGAACTAGCCCTTATGGACTGAAATCTATACAAACTGTGAGTTAAGTAAACCTCTCCCCCTTTAACTTTGAGTGTCAAGTATTTTGTCTCAGCAACAAGAGAAAAGTAACTAAAAAAAAAAAAACAACCAAAGGGAGACATTAGCAGGTTGGAGGGACAGAAATGAAGAAGGGATGATACCTAGACATCATAAGCTACCAGCACCATTTGACTACAGCCCCAGCCTCCCTGTAGTCAAGTTGTCTTGTATTGTAGATTTGCCAAGAAAGGACTACCTTCTCCAGAGCTGGAACTTCTGAAAGATGCATCCCCTGATTTGGCAGATGGAATCTGGAACCTTCCCATCCCCACTGCTGTTCCAGCACCAAGGAGACCAGCAAGAAGCAGGAAGATACCACCCCCCACCCCACCCCCACTGCCACCTGGCAGAACCCACAAGGAAGCCAGCAAGCCTGGGAGCCACAGAAATGTAATTTGCAGATTCCTAATTCCAGCAAGCTAGAACAAAGAATAAAAGGACAGATGAAAAGCTAAGAGAATACAGGTGAACAACTGCCTATGGGAAAGAAATAGAAGAATTCCCATTAATTTCCAGGACAAGAAAAGTAATTTAATATCCATCCTACTGTTTAACATTCTGAATGCATTATGGTAGTTAAAGCAATTAAGCAAAAAACAAAAAAGAACATACGAAAATTGAAAAAAAGTAAAATTATCATTATTTCTATGTATCATTTTGTACCTAGAAAACTCAAAGAATCAAGTTTTTAAAATTAATATAAACAGCTAATTTAGTAAGATAATTAGGTATAAAACAAATATACAAAAATCAAAAATGAGGAAATATATATGTAAATGTAACCAATTAAAATATAAAGAACATTGTCCCTTTTATAATAACCAAGAATAACTATGAGCAAGCTTATCAAATATTCAATATCTACATGAACATATCTTTAAAATACTTCCTTTGGGCTGGGGATTTAGCTCGGTGGCAAAACACCTGCCTGGCAAGTGCAAGGTCCTGAGTTCGATTCCTGATACCAAAAAAAAAAATACTTCCCTTTGGCCACTATGGACTTGGCGTAGAGACTTCGGGATAGAGTGTGAGGAGCAACTCTTAAGACATCGAGAGTGGCTTCAGCCAAAAGAGAAGACACCAAGTAATAACCGGGGTGCTTCATCCTATGATGCCTGTGAACCGATATTCTGGCCTCTGAGACCTCCCTGCCTTGGTGGTGATCTCTGGCCTATCCTGAAGCCTTGGGGTACTATCCTGGGCTGCAACCCAGGTCCCCAGGGGCCCACGAAGACACCCAGAGTCACCTGCTTCTGAAGCTTACTTTATTCTCCTTAGATTACACAGATGTAGGAACAGGAAAGACCCTGGAGACTGTGTAAGGCCCTCCAGCTTCTCCTTGATTCCCTCACCTTGTAAATGAGAGGTTGAGACCCAGAAAGTAAAATCGTTTGCCCAAGGGAACACAATTGGTGGCAAAACTAAGACTAGAGCAAGATTCCAGCTCTCTTCCACTCTGTCTTTTTGTTTCCTTTTCTTCTATTTCCGGCCATTTGAGGACTTGGATTTGATAATGAACACTAGTCAGCTCAGAAAGTATCTTTCTCTTGATCAATAGCCTCCTTCCTTCTTATGAGCAATCAAGCCTAAGCTTGAACATTCTGTTTGACCTCCATCTAAGGCAAAGGCATGTCACAGTTTACAAAGTCCAGGGGGTGTGCCAGAGGAACCCAACCAGAATTTCCAGCTTGCATAACCCGAGCAGACCAAAGAACGAGGTAAGATCAGGACACACCCCATGAGTCAGCACTGCCCTCAGCATTTGTCACCCTGAAGATGAGATCTGAGACATCCATGCTATCCCCCTTCTGCTGCCCTCTGAGGTGAATGAGCGCACCTCACCTCTTCAGCTGGGCTGGGGAACTCCAAATGCAGAAACAAGGCATCACCTGTGCCTTTGCCTCGCATAAAACTTGTTGCCTATGCCTGTAGGGCTGCGGGATCCATGCCCATTAGAAGGATTTCACACCACCACTCTACCCTATAAAAAGGAAATCACATGCAAAGGAAAAAGAGCAAAGTTCTGTCACAGGAGGTGGGGAAACTATCTTTGGCAGAGGCTGAGCAGAAAGTACCGCAGTAGCACAACCAGGAACTGGTGCCATGGATGCCCTGGTTCGACTCCTGCAGCTGCTCGTGCTGCTCCTGACCCTGCCCCTGCACCTGCTGGCTCTGCTGGGCTTATGGCAGCCCCTATCCAAAAAGTACTTCCCCTACCTAATGGCTGTGCTGGCTGTCAAGACCAACCGCATGATGGAGAGCAAGAAACGGCAACTCTTCAGCCAGATAAAGGAGGTTAAGGAAAACAGCAGGGAGGTGACCCTGCTAGAGCTGGGCTGTGGCACTGGTGCCAATTTCCAGTTCTACCCACCTGGCTGCAGGATCACCTGCCTGGACCCAAACCCCAACTTTGAGAAGTTCCTGACAAAGAGCATGGCTGAGAACGGACACCTCCAATATGAGCAGTTCGTGGTGGCTCCTGGAGAGGACATGAAACAAGTGGCAGATGGCTCCATGGACGTGGTAGTCTGCACTCTGGTGCTGTGCTCTGTGCAGAACACAAAGAAAGTCCTGCAGGAAGTCTACAGAGTGCTGAAGCCGGTGAGCAGAGTGGGAAGGGGAGGGGCCGCCCCAGAGGTTAGGGCCCCAGCATCGGGAATCTGAAACTAGCACATTAGACACCCCACCCTCTCTACCTGCTGCTGGAGGGGAGAGATCACCTCGATGAGACACAAATAGGATGCTGTGAAGCTAAAGGAGTATCACCTAACACAGGGTGGGGACAGCCAGGAAAGATACCTAAGGAGCTGATGTTCCTTAAACATTTAAATTGAGATCAGTGTAAGGAGGGAGATGAGGAAATAAAAGTGTTCTATTAGAGATGATAGGGGAAATGAAGTCCATAGATTTTGATCTGGGTGTGGAGGAAAAGGAATTCATAATAGTTTCCAAGTTTCTGGTATGAGCAGCTGAGGGGGAGTGGGTGCAAGTGCTGTTTGCTGGCATGGAAGGGTTGTCAGGTGTCAGGAGCTGCTGAGACAGCCAAGCAGAGAAACCACACAGGCCGAGAGAAGTCAGGATCTAGAAAGCAGAAAAGATACAGCCTAGAGGTAGAGATTTGGACTGCATCAGCCTGTACCTGGTAATTCAGTGTGAGGTGAATGACTCCCCTAGGGAGAGCACAGTGGGGTCAGGAGAGCTTGGAGAACCCACACTTTCTTGGGGTTGGGTCTGGCCCCAGGTTTTCCCAGGATGTTCAAGATGTCTGGGTAGAGGGTACAGGTGTACCAGAGTGTCAGGAGAGAGCCCTGCATGCATCCCTGTGCACCGTGAGCTTCCTGCTCCTGTTTCTCACTTTACCCTGACTGTGCAGTCCTTCCAGCCATTCTTCAAAGATCTCTGCCATCATCCCTACTCGGTTACGAGAGGTTCTTTATATGCACTTTGAGGGAGGGTAGGGGAGCCAAAGGTACAGGAGACATCAGAAGCAGGACAGCCTGCTCCATGAACTCGCAGACCAGCAGCCCCTACTTCACCAAGCAGTCTGACCAGGCTTCGTCAATGTGCAGAAAGTTATAAGAAAAGGATTGCATGGGGGTTGGGAGGTGCACACCTGTAGTCCTAGCACCCGGGAGGCTGAGGCAGGAGGATCTCTTCGAGTTCAAGGCCACCCTAGGCTACACAGTGAGTTCAAGGCCAGCCTGAACTACATAGCGAGACCCTGTCTCAAAACAAAACCCAAGAAAGGGGGGTAGGGGAATGGAATAGAGCAGATAGGTGAAAGTAACTCTCTTCTCCCTCAGGGAGGACTGTTATTCTTCTTGGAGCACGTGGCTGAGCCTGAAGGAAGCAGGGCCTTTATGTGGCAGCAAGTTTTAGAGCCCACCTGGAAACACATTGGGGATGGCTGCTACCTCACCAGAGAGACCTGGAAGGATCTTAAGAAGGCCCATTTCTCTGACGTCCAAATGGAATGGCTTCCCCCTCCCTTCAAATGGCTACCTGTTGGGCCCCACATCATGGGAAAGGCTGTGAAATAAGCTTCATACCCCCAAGGCAGTCACTGGCTACCTTCCCCACCTCCAGTCAGAACAAGGCACCCACCACCCAGTCTGTCTCCTCCTGAGAGGAATCAAGCGAAGAATGGGAGAAGCTCCCCCAGCCCTGCTCCTCTAGATCATCTGCACCTACCTCTGCCAGGGGGAAATCTCTAGCTCCCATCCCTCCTTCAACAACACAAAAGCTCTATTCCTACCCTCACCAGGAAAAATACAAACATTACATTATACCCTGTCCTGTCCCCAATGGCAAATTCTTGAACTTTGCCCACCCACCTCCTGCCACAACAGCTGTCCCTGGTCCCTCATCTCTATGCTAAATTTCCCCCACCCCTTTCTGAGGATGCACCCATGTGCCACTTGGAACTGGTCACAGAAGCCATGCTACCTGCCAGGCCAGCTGAGCCTCCCAGGGGCTGTGAGGGTGCCAGAGAGAAGCAGGGGCCCTGGGGGTAAGGGAGCAGCACTCAGTAAGGAAGCCAGCAATTTTGTCCTCAAATATTTTTTTTAATAAATAGACAAGACCCACTAGACTGATGCAGCAAACTAAGGTCAGAGGAGAAGGGACCTAGGGAGGGAGGAACCCCTGAGTCAGTGACACAGTCTCCTCCCTGGCCCTCTGGGTAAGGCACTTTGGGGGAGACAGGTTACATGGGGTGAATGGGAGGGGAGGGGACAGACTCCCTTCTCTCCACCCTGCACCAGGACATCCCTGCCCATCGTACCTGCCCCACCCCCATCCCTGATTTACCCTATCTTGGCTCACAAGGGGAGTGGGGGGGGGGGTTTCTTGTGGATGGGAGAGGGCAGTGCCCCTGAGGAAGCAGATCCTTCCAAGTCTTGATGCAATGCCAGGAACCCACTCCACCCTCTCCATCCTGAGGAGCCATCTCAGGAAGGGGTGGAGAGACCCACGGGCCAGGCTGGGAGAAAGAAAGCTAGGCAGTGCCTGGCACGGGATGCCCATCAGGGCCCAGCTCGGGATGCCCATCAGCAGCCAGGATGGGGTGAGCTTCGGGAGCCTCCCGCCAGGGGCTGCCCCAGTTGCTCCTCAAGATGGTGCCTGTTTTCTCCTCTTTAAACTGCTGTCGATCTTCCCGAGGGATCTTCACCGCATGGTACTGGGGCACACTGGCCTCGGGACGCTTTGCCCGCTTGAAGAATCCCATCTGTAAAACACCAAGTCAGACCATGAGGCATCTGCAGGGTGAGGTCCCTGGAGCAGACACCCAGCACAGCCCCGTACCCTCCCTTCACCATCCCTGAGACTGAAAGAACCAACTGAGGCAGAAAGAGACAGGCCAGCCAGCATCCAGTGTGATGGGCAGTCCCCAGGGTTCCACTCAGTGCCAGGGCCCCAGGTTCTCATTCACAGCAAAAGGATGACCAGGAGGGGGCCCAAGGCAAGGACCAAGGAAATCTCCCTTGGCCCCTGAAAGAGAGGCTTGAATGTGGGACTTCCAAACTTCCAACCCACCCAGACTTCTTAAGAGATCCTACAACCGAGAACATAAAGCCAGAACATAAGCTGAGGATGGAACCGGCTTCCTAGACCCCAGCATAGCTGGAGCAACATCCCCAAGCCTCACATACTTTCACCTCATGTGTTCAGACACTAAGCAGCTGGGACAGGGCCCTCAGCCATGAATACGCCAGTCTAGCTCCTCCCTGCCATCATGACCGTGCTGGCCCTAATTAGCATGGTAGTAAGTGCCCTTGCATACTCACACTAGAAATGCCCAACACTCCTACATGCTCGGACTGCACAGCATCTTCTTGCCCATTCACCTCTCACACTCATACCCAGAGAGCACATGCACAGACCCTCCCCACACACCCACATGCTCACAACCCACGAGTCCACCCCACTCTGTGCGCATGCCCCCAGCGGCGTGCACTTAACGGTCCTGACCTCATCCTTCTAATCACCTCTCACCTCGATTCTGGACCTCACATCACCCTCACGCGGATTCATTCCTTCACCCTACATACCTTCGTCCTCTATATGCTAGAAGCTGGACTTATTCCCATACACAAACATACCCACACGCACACACGTTTGCACAGTCACGTGCACACACACACAACAGTTACCCCACAGTCCCTGGGCCCCCAGCTTCCATGGCTGAGGGTTGCACAGCCAGATGTGCTCGGTGATAGTTGGTGGGGAAAGATGAGCTCTGACTGCTCCGATGGAAGAAGCCACACTGGGATATTGAGGGAGAAGGTGAGCAAAAAAGGCATAGGATGGGAAGACAGAGGCAGGAGGGGGCTCTATCTCTGCAGAGGGCAAGCATATGGGGCCAGCTTTGTGAAGGCCTCAACCTCCCTAAGACTGAGCAGGTTCCCAACAGCTTGGCTGCCACTCCAGAGCTGGTCCTCTGATAACACACACATCAAAGGTGTCATCCGTGATTGTCTCACAGTGGGGAGAGCATTCTCCACAGAAGCCCAAGAGGTGCATGGCTCTCCACATAGCTCCAGATGTGACGCTTGGCTCAGGGAACATGAACCCTGGTGACGTGTATGAGTCCCTCCACTGACCTATGCACATGTGTCCTCTTATGTTGAGCCCCTGATGCTATTAAGATTCTGTTACAGCTATGTGTATGCATGGAGCCTGGCATGTGGACACTCCACACTCAGCCCTGCCAGCAGTTCCCTAGAGCTAGTCCTCCACACTTCCTGACCACAGTTGCCTTTGTAACCTTCACTGCTGCACTCTGGTTAACTAAGACCACACTTTCCTGCCTCCATGGTCCTTCTGGAAGCTCGGGCCCCACCTACTCCATCCACCCTGCATACAGAACCTACTACCCCACCTCCAAGGCTGGCTCCAGAACCACCTCCTCTTGAGCCTTCCTTCCCTGAACTTGCACTTTCTCAACTCAACACTTCTGGTTTGTCCTCAACTACAAGGCTCACCACCCCCACTAGCTATGAAATCCCAAGGACAAGATCTATATCTGACTCATCTTCCCCATGTCCAGGGCCAGAAACAGCACCCAGTGTAAGTGCTCAGTGTAGAGTCACTGAATATATGCCAGTGCATGGGTGAGTACAAGAGGCCACCTGCCTGACTAGGAAGTGTAACCCCAGCAGCCCCACTGCTCCCCGAGCCTCACCTTCCATAGGAGCAGCACCAGCAGCGCCAGCACCAGCAGCCCAGCCAACACAGCCAGGAGGATGACCCACCAGGGGACCCCTTCTGCCACCACAGCTATGGGGTCCAAGTATACCATCACTGGGATCTGGGGAGCAAGGAGTCAATGGCATAAGAGCAGGAGAGAAGAGGGTGCCCTGCCTGCCCATGCCCACCCTGCAGCTCACCACCGTGGAGGCGTCTCTCAGCACCAAGTTCTTGATGGAGGACTTCACTGTGATGTTGGCTCGCACAATCACTTCCAGGGACTTCACAGCTGAGTACTCCTAAGAAAGCAGGAAGGACACCCTCTTCCCAAATGGCCCAGGACCCCCACCCAGATCCTGAAGTTATAAATGGAATGGTCTCCAACCCAGAGGATGTTTCTGCCTGGCTATGGTTAAGTTTGTGCTGCATTTGGATGAGGAAGAGGTAGAAGTGAGTTTTGATGGGGCTTTTGCAGAAAAAGACAGCTAGCCTGGAGTCCCGGCAGTGGCCTTACCTCCAGAAAGGTGCTATTCCAGAGGCGGCCCCAGACACGCAGCACAGCCGTGCGGTCAAAGCTGTAGAGTGGGCAGCTGAACACCACACATTTGGCTGTGCCCTGGGTGCAGTCCTGGGGACAAGGACAAACAGGGCTCTGAGCTGCTCAGCCCCTCTCCACCGAGCCTACCATTTCACATTTTCCTTACCCAGCCTCAAATTCCTCTCCACTGGGAAGTCTTTGCAAAGTAGCCCTATGGTCCAAAACAGCTGCCCATTCCAAACTGAACTATTTGCCTTTGAAATGCATGGAGGTGGAGGAGAGGAGGTCTCTTACTTCACAGCAATAGGCAGAATAGCCTCCCCAGGTAACACTTAGGCTCCCTAATGATGGTCTCATTTATTGAGCACCTACTTGCTGCCAGGCACTTATCTTATTTACACTGCACAACTCCTGCAAGGTGCATATTATTACATCATTTTTCTTTTAAGGTGCTTTTTTTTTTTTTTTTTTTTGGTACTGGGGATCAAACTCGAATTACATCATTTTTCAAAGGAGGGAACTGAGGCCCAGAGGAAAAGATGACCAGGGGCCGGGGAGTTAGCTCAGTGGTTCTGGCACCTGCCTTGCAAGAGCAAGGTCCCGAATTCGATCCCTGGTACCAAAAAAAAAGCAAACAAAAAAACATGACCAGACTGCCCCAGGTTACAGAACTAGCAAAGCTAGTAAGTGACGGAGCAGATATTTGAAGTCAGGTCCATATTCAGCAAAACTACATCTTTGGCTAAGCCCAACCTCACTGAAGGAGAACCAAGCTGCCTGACCAGGAGCTGCTGGAGGCAGGGGACTCTGACCAGGCTCCTCTCTGGCCTGACCTAAACCCATTTGGTCCACTCACTATCAATAATCCATTTACCTAAAAAGATGCATTGTATTCATCACGCCGCCATATACAGAATAACATCTTTGAGGGCAATTGAACTCTTTGAGTTATCTTTTATTTTGCCATCTTTGAGCAATTCAAGAATCTTTTGTCAATTTGTTTAAAAGCAAGGCTATCTGCCTTAATGGCATGTAAAAAAAATCTATTTCAGACATTATGTTAAGTGGTATAAGCCAGACACAGAAAGACAAGTACTGCATGATCTCACCCATATGAGGAATGTAGGAAAGATGAATTCACAGCAGGAGAGAGTAGACTGGCCATTACCCAGAGCCAGAGGAGGGAATGGGGCAGGGAGATGTTGGCCAAAGGGTACAAAGTTTCAGTTAGGCAGGAGGAATAAATGAAGAGATCTATTATTCTACATCATGGTGACTACAGGTAATAATAACATTTTTTCAAAATCACTGAGACTAGATTTTAAGCATTTGCACCACAAAAAAAGAAGTGTGTGAGGCATGTTATGTTAATTAGCTCAACTGGCCATTCCACAATGTATACACATTTTCAAAACATCATGTTGGGGCAGGGGATTTAGCTCAGTGGTGCCTCGCCTGCCTCAAAAGGGCAAGGTCCTGAGTTTGATCCTTCATACTGGAAGAAGAAAAAAAGAAAAAAACATGTTGTACATGATAAATATTGTTTTATCAATTAAAACTAATCCAT